TAGAACCAAGTATTCTTGCATTGAGGGAGTACTTGAGTGGAGGCCCAATGTCCATCTGCTCCCTTAATACCAAACCTATACATATATGGACATAGATTTATTTCCACATCTTCATATATTTTTAATCATTTTATTGGGGGTACTCACAATTATTTTTCTAATTGAGCCCATTGTTGCAGCCACTGTGTCATCAATCTTGTCAAGGGTCTTTCTCTTTTGCATCGTCCCTCTACTTTACCAAGAATGGTGTCCTTATCCAGGGACCAGGATGTCTTGACAGTGTGTCCAAAGTACAGGAGATGAAGTCTCTTCATCCTTGCCTCGAAGGAGCATTCTGGCTGTACTTCTGGGACAGATTTGTTTGTTCTTTTGGTACTCCATGGTACTATCAACATTCTTGGCCAACACCCAGTTCAATGCATGGATTCTTCTTTGGTCTTCCATATTCAATGTTCAACTTTCACATGCATGTGAGACTGTGTAAAATACCATGGCTTGGGCCAGGCACACCTTACTTTGTCCTCAAAGTGACATCCTTGCTTTTCAACACTTTCAAGAAGGGTTGTGGGACAGATTTGTTCAGTGCAACATGTTGTTTGCTTTCTTGTTTGCTGCTTCCATGAGCATTGAGTGTGGGTACAAGCACGGTGAAATCCAGGACAACTTCCGTATTTTCTCCATTTGTCATGATGTTACCTTTTGGACAAGTTATGAGGATTTTGGTTTAATTTACTTTGAGTTGTAATTCATACTGGAGGCTGTAATCCTTGATCTTCATCAGCAAGTGCTTCAAGTCCTCCTCATTTTCAGCAAGCAAGGTAATGTCGCCTGCCTGTCGCGGGTTGTTAATAAGCTTTCCTCCAATCCCAATGCTGCATTTTTCTTCATATAATTATCTTTTTTACTAAATCCTCACTATAAAGCACTGGTACAGCCATTTTACATTAATCGGGTATTTTCACATTTTCCAATTATACTTGTTTTATGGAAATTATCTTCAATAGAGAACATTGTTGCCTCATTTTATGATTTATATTTAATATGGATTTTTTTTGAGACCAGCTTAGGTCTTCCTGATTAACATGAGCATTGCTTAAATAATGTTTACATTTATTCTGAAATCCCACAACTTGAAATGTTTAAATACTTTATCTTCTTTTACAAAGTAATCTAAACACAAAGCTATTAGGGCAATGGGAGCTGTTTGGTGGGGGGACTAACTAATATCTTAGGTGATATTTTTTTCAAGTCAAACAAACTCCAGAGAGGCTAAGTTCTGACAACTTGGAAAGCGGGAGGTGTATAATTATGGGAAAATCACCAAGTCTGTTTGAGAACTTATGTGACTGTGATACAAAGCTATCACAAGAGAGAAGGAACAGAAACAGAGCCTTGGCCCTGCCAGGGAGAACTTGGGAAGCATTCCCTACAAATTACAGATGGACGGATACCTGTCATACTTTGGACACGTATGCAGGAGAGAGCAGACCCTGGGAAAGGTCCTCGTGTTTGGTAAATTAGAAGGTGGTGAAAGGAGGAGGCCCCTCCATGGGATAGATGACACAGTGGCTCCACAAGGCGCGCCCCCTGACCAGTGTGAGGATGGCGTAGGCTGGGCAGTGGTTCCCACTGTGGTCCGTGGGGTCGTATGAGTCCTTACTGACTCGAGGGCACCTAGCAACAACCACCACCAACCATCATTTTTCAGATACTTTTTTATACACTTCACATTCATGTGTGACGTCTAAACTTGAACCAATTCTGGTTTTGAGAAGTTAATAAAATACATAGCTTAGGGCAAAGCAGGGGCCGTGTTGAATATGCTAAGTCACACTTAGAACCCCAGAGGGGTACAAGCAGCTCGTTAGCACACCCAACTGGTAACCAAGAAATGAGAGGTGTACGTGCACCGAAGAAAGGCCTGGCATCCTACTTCTGAGAAGTCAGCCAGTGAAACCCGATGGCACACAGTGTGCCCACTGCGCCACGCAGAAGTTGCCAAGAGTTGGGTTCAGCTCAGCACTAATTGGTGTTGGAAACCAAGGTTCATTATCAAATCAGGACCCACTGAATAAGACCACGTGTCATATTTGCGCAGGAAAACGTATCCTCACGTGGGCTTCTTCTTTTCCCTGTCCGACTAGTGGTCCTTTGGTGTGCTCCTCTGGGAACTGATGACAAGAGGAGCGCCCCCGTATCCCGACGTAAACACCTTCGATATAACGGTTTACTTATTGCAAGGAAGACGGCTCTTACAACCTGAATACTGCCCAGATCCCTTGTAAGTAGCAATTCCAGCAGAACCTTCTGCCTCTCAGTAACGTCTTTGCTTTTACAGAACTGCTTCATTCCGGAGGGGGCGGGGGTGGCCGTCTCTCATGACCTCTCTCTTGTCCTGAAACAGGTATGAAGTGATGCTTAAATGCTGGCACCCCAAGGCCGAAATGCGCCCGTCCTTTACTGAGCTGGTCTCCCGGATCTCAGCCATATTCTCCACATTCATCGGGGAGCACTATGTCCACGTGAACGCTACATACGTGAATGTCAAGTGTGTCGCTCCATACCCTTCGCTCTTGTCATCACACGACACGGTGGATGGCGAGGTGGACACATGATGGAGCCCCTCCCCTCTGAGGAACATCTTGATCACAGTCCGCATTCAGCCCAATACTTTCACTGCCTGGCCTTTTTAAGGCCACCAGACTTTTTTGTTGTTGTTTTTTTGCTTTTGCCAAAATTGCACTGTTCTAAGGTTTTAGACTGTTATTTAACAGTGACTCATTTCTCAATTGACAAAACATCTGAGTCAGCTCAGGCAGTGGAGGCTGGGCCCCACGACTGGCCGCCTGCAGGTCAACTACAGCGCTGCCGCTGTACAAACCTGGAGGGTTTGTCCCTGCCTGAGGGACAAACATGGAGTCTGCTTTAAGATGTGTATAACTGGAAAAAAAACTTTTTTTTAAGCCTGAACCCCACCTGGCTTTCTATGGAGAATTGAGGCAAAGAATGGTGATGGCTTCTTGGTCCCAGAAGTCCAGAAGAGGACAGATAGGCAGCCCATGGACCAAGCCCCTTGCTGTAGAATTCCAGAGTTTCAAAGCCCTTGAGCCGGTCGGTCGCACGGTCTCCCGTATGTCTCCTTGCTAATACTGCCATTTGCCCTCTCGGAAAACATTCCCTTGGAAAACGTTGCATATACACATTCCTTCGACTGGTGGAATGCCCGTAGACAAGGTTCCAAGTTTCAGCATAGCATGGTGCAAAACGTGTTTTTCACAAATGCATAGTATTTATATATTGTTCATAGATGACGCTAAGATTTTTCATAAAGCAGCTGGGTCACACTGAGATGTTTAGTTGTCGCTTAAAAATCAGCTGTTTGAAAAACGATACTGTGGTTCTGATCTAGGGCATGTGGCTCTTTCGATAACTTGTCTCCATGTCTTTTCTTTTAATGATGACTCTGAAAATGGAACAAGTGATTTGTGATCACTATTTTTAGAGGTGACCCAGCATAATTTTACAACAGAAGATATCTGACAGGAAAACCCTGTGGTTCCCATCAGGTCTTAACCGGGTACAACAACCGAATCATGGGCTAGAAACATTAGTCTCTCTGGGGGCAGCTTCCCACCCCACAAACAATGAGAGACAGTAAAGCTTTGGATGCATCCAGTTTTACTTTGGGACACATTTTGTATCAAAGCCAAACCTCTTTGCAGAGCAAACAAGAAATGACGGTAGAAAGTTCTAGCCATTTTGCTCCATCCCCAGTTATTCTAGGCAGGACCTTTTACCGTTTTGTACCATGGAATATTGTGCGTACTACTGTATAGTGCATGTGGCACCGGATACGCCAACTGGTTTTGTCGATGTAAACATTTAAAGTACTATATTTTTATAAGAATGTTTATTTTTAGTGATGTAAGCGATGTTTTTGCTAGGCCACAAACATTCTGCACTGTGAACATTTCAAGAAAAAAAAAAGGAGGTATGTCACACTTGGATTGGTGGCAGAGTGACGTCCCATGGCTGTAAATCGTGATGAGAATATGTGCTGATGGCCCATCCACCCCACCCTTATTGCAGCACCATGACTGGAAGCCAAGGCTGCACACAGCAAGCCAGGAAGGAGTGTGCTGTGCTGACCGCCTGGGCGGGGTGCCTGTTGTGGGAGGGACTAAGTGTAACTAATAGCTCTTCACAAAGGAGGGACTTGCCAGTTAAGACCCAGGGAATGGTGCGGCCAGGCATTCCAGCGCAAGCGTCACACAGTTTCCTAAGTGTGAAGAGTACCCTGGGTCAGAGGTTCGTGTAAACTGTGGAGGGCCATAGCAGTGAGAACCATGCTCTGTGGAAAGAACCAAGCAACCTCAAGAGGACGGACGCATCCGGGACATCAAGAGAGACCGTGCTGGTTGAAACCACCCGCCCACAGGACTGCCCACCTGCATGGACCTGCTGAAGAGAGCGGCAGTGTGAACCTGTGTTTGCTGTTTATAAACTTGTCCTTACAGTAATGTGTCCGGACAGACTGTGGGAGTAAGTGATACTTCTAAGAATTAGCTACTTGTCGCTGCCTGGACCTGCAGTGGAGCTGAATGGTACTTTGTATGTGAATAGTTGTTCTTATAAACCATACAATTAAAATAAAGTGATGTAACATCTTGTAGCCTGAGAATCGTTGTTGGTAGTTGCACTTGATGGCCTACACCCTTTACAAGGGGACAGGAAGCCTTGGATGGAGCTCAGTGGGCTGCACGGAGATAATCCTTACATCGGAGTAGGAGAGCCTGGGGCCAGTAGCTAAGAGAGCTTGCAGCCCTGGCTCTCCGGAAGCCCCTGTCTTTCTAAGAGTGGTTTGTCCTGAGTTGCCAAATTACCTTACCTGCCTTTCCCTGAGCATGGCTCACTTCTTCAGTGCGGCAACTCCACTGTCCCCACAGGAATAATCTCTAGATTGGGACCTAGCGTGGCCTTCCTTTCCTGTCATAACAATGCTTGCCGTCCACCCAGCTCCACGGTCCCCACCCTTCACTCGGCCCCAGTTGCCAGAGAAACCACCTTCGGGTTACAGCTGCATGTATGCTCTTGTAAAAGAATTCAAAAGCTATGTCAGCCACCGCTTTCATCTACGGATCTGGTGGCCCTTTGGGGAAGTTGGAAGGAAGGACCTACGTTTAAACTTATGTCTACAAAATACCAAACCCTCTGCTGACCGCTTACTTCTGACTCAGCGTGACCTTATAGGACAGACTTGAACCTCTTCGGGTTTCCAAAACTACATTTTTACTATATTCCCCCCACCCCACCCCACCCCCCGTTCATATGTGCACTGGTTTATTCCAAATAAGCTGCACTTAAATCGTTTGCTGCAATCAGCAATACACTTGCCTTAGTCTCCTTAGGGTGCCTTTGAAAACTGGTTGGATCAAACGGTGGGCAGTTCAGTTCAAGGTCAAGAGGTGAGTCGAAGGTGATGAGGTGCCGTCCTGTGAGTTTGGACTCCTAGTGACCGTATGTGCCACAGAAGGAAAGACTGCCCAGCCCGTGCCGTCCTCGTAAATGCTACGTTTGAGCCCCTTGCTGCAGCCACTGTGCATCCATTTCCTTGAGGGTCATCGCTCCGCTGTCCTTTGACACATTTTTACATCCCTTCCCCCATATTCATTGAAGAAGGAATCTCGTGTCAGTGTGAGGGCCCGCTCAATGCCCAGAGAGAAAAGTGAAATTCATTTAAATTTCAGATTCATTGAGCAAAACTTGGTGAGCGGAATCTCATTATCCTTCTGACTCGAGAACGCCCCCCTCCCTCCACGTCCGTGTTCACAAAGGCCAGGGGAACTCTGTAGGCAATAGCTGGACCCCTGGTGGTTCAGGGGCACTGGGGAGAAGTAGATGCTGTCTGGGTCCAGCGATTATTTGAGAGGTGACTTTGTCAGAGACACTATGGACCAAAAGATAACAGGTTCTTGGCTTGAAGGGCTGCTGGCTCTGATTTTTCCATGAAAATGCATCTCACTTCTCCAAGAAAACACCAAATGGCAAATGATGCCAGCGCAGCCCCCGGAAAAGGGCATCATGATTGGTAAAGTGGAGGGGCAGCAAAAAAGAAGGCGGCCCTCGTGAGATGGCTTGACACTGGCCCGCATTAGTCGGCTCAAACATAAGAAACATTCCGGGCATGGTACCAGACTGGGCAGGGGTTGTGTTAGGTTTCTTGGGGGAGAAATACCTCGGTCTTGGGCTTCGCACAAGAAAGAATTCACGCCGAAGCGTGGTTTGTGATCCACGTGGGTTTTTATAAAGGACAAAAGGCATTACAGTACCTGAACACAAGCACCTTCATGGCACTGCAGGCCCATGTGGTGGCCTGAGGCCAGAGAGAGAGAGCCCGGCCGAGGGGGACCATCAGAGGAGCACTGGAAAATTGCTCGGTGCTCTCAAACTTCCAGCCTTTTTAGTGCCTTCCAGCTGGGAGGTGTGCTCGATGGTACTGGTTGACCCCATTGGATGAAGTAAGCCCACCTGGCCTAGTTGGGACCCACCCAGGTATACCGCCTTCCAGGGCTTGAATTTGCGCCTCCCCTTTAGCCTTTATTGGCTTCCAAATTCCTGTAGGGGGCCCCCTAGGTAATGGAGAGGAACCACCCCCAATCCGGCTACCTGACCACTGTGCCATGTAAAGTGTGCTAGGAGGCCGACCCAACTCAACGGCACCTAACAAGAGCAATCTTAAAAGAGATTTTAACCAGAGCACACACACATACACATACAGCTGTCACAGTGCCACTTCCAACTCACAGCGACCCTGGGTAGAAAGGTCCCTGTGATTTCTGAGACTGGAACTCTCAACACAAGTAGGAAGCCTAGTCTTTCTCCAGCAGAGCAGCTGGTGGTTTTGAACTGCTGACCCTGCAGTGAGTAGCCCCGTGCTTAACCACTCTGCCACAGGTGTTTAAGACCAATTCCCCACCCCACCTCCTACCTCACCTGTCTTTCACACAGTGGAAAATGAAGAGTGATGACACCCCTTCATCCTGGAGCACTGGCCTGACTGGGTGGAGGACAAGCCCAGTGTCCAGACAGCATCACCTTTCCCCAGTGCAGCACACCTGAGGCGTGCCTCAGCGCGCTTGTCTCTCGCAGCTCCAAACAGTCCCTCTAAACCCCTCCCCATGGCCCAGTGCCCATCCTTCCGGACTAGCATTCAGATCTAGACTATACAAGGGATATGGGTCCACACAAATCATCCACTGGAACTACAGCCATGTCACCTGAAGGAGAAATAGCAGGAGTCACGTGTCTCTGTATTCATGGCTGTAGATTCTTATAGTTCATTGTGCTGCCCATTAGATTGCTAGTGATGATTCAGATCCAATAAATCATTAAGTACAGTCTTGTTGAGTTACCTAAGAAATACATGTCATCCAGTCCCCATGGATGGGTACATGCTCAACATTCTCTCTTAGGGCCCTTGGGGTGATTGCTAGGTATGCAGACCCTCTGCCCCTAAGAATTGCATATTGCTTTTCATTCCATAAAATGTTTTTCCTCTCATACCTGACATGTTTGTTCAGGACTACCTCAAGCCGCTATCTATCAAAAAAAAATTTCAAAATAACTTCTGTCATAATCCAGTGAAATATTTCAGTTGGTGAATTGAAGGTAATAAAACAGAGGCTTGCCCAAACTGTCCTTTGTTGTAAATTATACCAGAGGTCTAGATTACGTCAGCCAAAGGTATTGATCTCGACGCTGAGAAGTTTATAACTACTATTGACTTACCATGTGACCCTGGAGCAGAAATCCAGGAAAATTGCAGAAGCAGATCTACCCTAATGAAAAGCCCATCATTAACAGGACGTACTATCCTGTCACTCAACTAGTGCCGGACTGGCTCCAAGGCAAATATTTAACCAATACTGGAAAGAGGAGGAATGTCTGCCTCCTCCCGTGTCGTTACTGAACGCGTCTGCGGTCTCCTGGCGCATGCCTCCTCACTTGCCAGGTAAAACTGTAGGATAGAAAAGATGAGTTAGTTCGCTATTAGTCCTGATAAAATTAGCATCCAAACAGATCCTATCCGTCCTCTTTAAAAAAAAGAAAAAGAAAGAAAGACCTAGTTCTACTTATAACTCCATTTAGAATATGACTCAGCAGTGCCGGGTGAGGCACTTAGGGTTAATTCTCTCAGGTGCTAACTGGAAAGTTGGAGGTTCGAGTCTACGCAGAGGTACTTCAGGGAGGGAAAGCCCTCGCGTTGCTGCTGCAGGATCAGCCACTGAGAACTCCCTAGAGCACTAGAGCTCGTTTGACTCTGACACCCACAGGGCTGCCATGAGTCGGTAGAGCACCCACTGCACCTCATTCTGGCACAGAATAAGCCTCAGGCCCTAGGCACCAGGAGAGGGTAAGCCCCTACCTTGCTCGTTCTAGAACTACCCTGTTTGCCCGAAAATAAGACAGTGTCTTATATTATTTTTTGCTCCCAAAGATGTACTAGGTCTTATTTTCAGGGGATATCTTATTTTTCCATGAAGAAGAATACGGTACACATTTATTGCTTTTTGTTTTATTAAAAGAGACCTCGCACTTCCTGTCTGCTCCGGCTGCGCTGCGGCCAACAGTGAGCTGTGCTGGGCCACCCCCAACTACGGTCCAGAGTCCAGAGTTACGGTAGCTTCTGGGGGCCTTATTTTCAGGGGATGCGTTCTATTTCAGCGAGAGGCAAAACTGTAGGTAGGTCTTATTTTGGGGGGATATCTAACTTTCGGGGAAACAAGGTAGAACAATTCTGGAGTGAAAATGGCCATATTTGGGGTGTGTACAGCATTTTGTTTTGGTTTTGTTTTCAGCAAATAAAACGTCACCACACAGCCTACTTGAGGGTGGGGGGTGTTGTTAGGATGGGGAGGGAGGGGCTATACACAGAATGCTTGCATTGTTTACGTAACAATAGTGGATGTAAACTGCGGCCACGGAACATTACTTGGAAGCACTGACCCAGATTGCAACAATTAATCTTTAGCCTGCCTTGAAAAGGGCCCTTTGTCTGATATGCTTCGCTTTCTCGCTGTCACAAGGACATTCTTTGCACCACATGAGTTCAGGCTGGCAGAAACATCCAGTAATCCTCAGCCCTCTCAGCTGGAACGCCAAAAATGTATAAAATCTCACCAGGCCGAAGGAGATCAACTTTCTAAATCTTTGGCATCCAAACACGTTGGAACTGTTTTTCACGAGCTCCTCGACCATTTGTCTCCTCACGGTCCAGGAGATCTGTAATATCGGTTCTTATTTTTATTGGGCGGCCTGGAATGCTGAAGCCCCGTCTTTCAGCTAGCTGTCTCGGTTGTTTATCATGTGCACAGTTGTTTTATGAGTTTGCGCTCTGCGTCTGACTCCGACAGTTTGGGGGGGCCCGTGATACGTAGTCTCCCTTGGCCAGCAGAAGCCCTCACTGCTCCATGTGCGACCGTTCCCCGGGGGGACATCTGCTCTTCCCATCAGTGTCCAGCCGGGCCTTCCTCTCCCTGCAACTGTGACTAAATAGCTCCCATATAGCCCACTGGTGCCAGTCCTTGTAAACAAGGCACGCCCGAATCAAAGCCTTGATTAATCCCCCAAGCCCCCCGAGATGGAGAGTATGCAGTCAGCCTCGTGATCTTC